AGGGCCGGGGCACATGTACGTGCATGCTTTGGGCACTTGGTCTGGAAAAGGTTAGCCATCACTGGTCGATATGATCTCTAGATGTCAAAAGTCAAAAACAATAACAGATGGCAGTCCAGTCTCTTCTTGAAAGCTTCCAGTGATGAAGTTCCCACAACTTCTGAAGGCAAGCTGTTCCATTGGTTAATTGTTCTGGAACCTCTTCTATAGGAGAGGTTAGAACTGGCAGGAACCCACCCCTGCTTCCCACTGTCAGAAAGTTCCTCCTATTTCCAGATTGAATCTCTCCCTTGTTCAATTTCCATTCATCATTCCTTGTCTGGCCTTCAGGTGCATTGGAAAATAGTTTGATCCCTTCCTCTCTGTGGCAGCCCCTCAAATATTGGAACACTGCTAGTTGGACTAGAAGACCTCCAAGGTCCCTTCCAACTCTGTTATTTTGTTATTTATTTCTCTAGAAATCAGCTAGAGGGGATCTTGCTTGAATATCTGCCTTGGATATGTCAATCCCTACTAACGTGTACTATTTATGATACTTGGGTAGGAAAAGCATTCTTTTCTGTTTGGTTTATGAGTGTCATGATGCATACTTCCCTCCTGTTCCCTGGTTTGTTTGTTCATTCTTCATTGTGAATGATCTATCTGCCAATTACCTTCACTGTTTATGTCTGGGCTTCTAAAAAAGAAGTATTTGTTCTGATGATCCTGAATCTGAAAGCAGATTTGCGTCTGTTATCCATTTTCTTGTTCCCTGTCCTCCCCTTGGCTACACCTTGGGGAAAAATACTTCCATGATTTTGAAAAGCATCATGTTTTTAGGGAATGGAGACAAGACAAAACAAGGTCCTGCTGTGTAAAATCAACCAGTTTTTTTTTACAAAAGAATAATTTGTTCATGGATTTATTCTCTTTCTCCTCTTTCCCATCACATACTCATTTATTCTGACCAAAAAGGCTGATAAGTCTGTCTTCAGTATTCTTGATATTCTGGTATAGCCCAGCTTTTGTTTACAGAGCTGAAAGTGATTCAGCTGTTTCAAATTTGCTTCCCTGACAGACTGGAAAAAATGTACTTGTGCTTTCCTTTGTTCTGAGACCTAGTACTTTGTACTTTCACAGTTAACTCTCCTACCTAATTTTCCATTTTCCAAGAATATGTTGTGCTTGAGACTGCAGTTGGCCTCTGGGTTTAATGTCAAGGCTTGGATTTGGTGGGCAGTGAGTGCTGTTGACAAAGTTTCCTCTCACTTGTAAATGGAAACAGTGGCTTCATCTGGGATGAAGCAAAAACAGCTTCCTATCAGAAGACCTGTCTAGGCACGATGGTGCCAGCACTTCATTTGAGAGATTAAACGTAGCCTGTTTATAAACATTCTTGTGTTTCTCTGGGACACAGCCAGTCTTGGTGTCATTCTGCTTCTGATTTCTGTCCCCAGCACGTTGCGCTACTCAGACAAATGTCACTGGAATCAATGTACTTCCTTTCCATTGATGTGCTGAGAATTTTTAATTGCTGCAGAAAGCTAGGATTGCATTGATCTTTTCCCACCTTCCATTCTGTCTTATGATAAGCAGCAACAGGATATAATAAAGAGGATCTCATTGTATTGATACAGACACTTTCACTAAACATTGGAACATAATGGTTTTATTTTAACTTCTGGAAATTATACTTCTAATTAATTATTATACTGGTCCTGTTCACATGAACTGGGCTTACAGTTTTGTGTCAGTGCATAATCTCATGTTTTGATTCTTATAGACCAAGCAATGTTCAAGTATTGTAGCTGAATCAATGGTGCAAGTCAAGTTTTTTATTTTGCTGGCAGTTTTCAGCCTTGGGCTTAGTTTTTGTTTGACTCTACTGTAAAATGAAAGTGAAAACTGACTGCCTAACAGCCTTAAAATGATTTGCCCATTGCTTGTCATAAGACTGTGTTGTGGGATAAGATAAGCCCAACATTGAAAATTAACACTGCAGTTTGGGAAAGATGAGACAGTAACTTATAGAGCTTGACCAGTATTTGGCAACATAATCTATGCTACCAATAAGATCAACTGGCCTGTATTCAGATTGATCCCCAAGTTTATGACAATCTTGTTTTCCCTTCCTAAGAATTCTATTCCTCTGTGATTGGTTAAATTGTACATCTTTAATTGTGAGTATAGTGAGAATTAAAAATTGTGGTAATTTATTTATTTGCAAAATTTCAAAATGACTCCTGCCAGATAGGTTAGTTCAAAACATTTTTTCCCAATCTCTTGAAAGTAGATATGAGCAGATAGGATGTGCCAGTTCTCCTTACAGGAGATGGTCATGGACATACCTAGAAGCCAAGCCATGAAGGGCTTTATAGATGAGTGCTTGGTAATAGATTAAAGATGGATAGTAAACTCCTAAGTTTACCAATCTGGCTGTGTCCCTGCCTCAGATAACTCAAAATAAGCAGATTTTTCCCCCTGATGAAGAACAGTTACATCTGAATACCTTTAAGCAGCACTTTTTTTCTTGATTGGCTGGTTGTATATTTGCTAAAGGCAAACACAATATGTGCATTTGCTCTTTTGGGGTAGGACAAGGTGTAGACTATTTTATCCTAGAGATCAAATAAAGAATTATTGCCAGCTGTTCCTTTTCAAAGATTGAATAAGGTAACAGTGAAGACAAGAGGATAGGTGTGATTGTAAAAGCCTTTGCAATCATTTGTCGAAGAAACATATTCTAGACCGGGGTGTCAAGGTCGCGGGACGGATGCTTCACACGCTGGCCATGCCCACCCCATTTTAGTGAAGGGGAAAAAGTCGTGATACGTCACGTGATGATGCGATGACATGAGTTTGACACCCCTGTTCTAGACTGTTTTTTAATATTTTTTTCTTTGCTGTCTTCCACTAATGAACATTTTATTTAACTCCATGTCGAATGTTCTTTTCTCCTGTGATGAAAAGTATAAATTGCAGTATTTTTAGTTTTATCATAATCATTATTGAAGTAATAATGTAAATCTGTATTTCATATTTTTGAGTTTACAGCAAATATCTACATGAAATAATGTTTTTGTTTATAATCCAGACACATATTAATTTCTGGAATAAAGGCTGGAGAGCAACTTTTGATTATATCTATTCATATTCATAAGGATAACATAATTTTACTAAATTGGCAATATAGCATCAGGAAATTGAAGTTTAATCAGGTAATTAACATGGATGTAGCATAGACACTCAGAGTAGTGGAGGAAGAATTGTAATATCCAAAGAAAATAATTAGGAATAGAATCATAAAAGAAAATGGTTTCTGGTTTGAAATTTGCTATTGCTGCCAACTTATTCTTCCTTTCCAAAAATATCACCTTTCACCTTCAAAAGGATTTTCCTTATCCTCTGCCACCAAAATTGCATAACAAACCTGCATTGAAAAATAAATATTCTGCAGTTTCAGACAAGACAGACAATACCACAAATAGTAAAGTTTTGAATGAACTTTGTCCATGTGTATATTGCTCTATAAATTTAATAACTGCATGAATAATGAAATCAGTCACTTGTTCTAAGCTGAGGATCTGGAAATAATCATAATCTTTCTAGATGGAAGCAGAGGAAGAAGGCTCTAAGAAGATAATGGGAATTGAATTTCAGAAGCTTCCTGCCAATTACCATAATGAATCCTACACAGATACAAAAGTTGGAAATAAAACAATACATAGACATCAAGAAATTGATAAGGTGAATGTTTTCATTTTATGCATTTTTATATGTGCATATTTCCTGTAGTCCACAGATTTTCTTCAACTTAGTGTTACTTACTAGATGCACTGGTAGGATAAAATTCACAATGTACTCAATTGTAGCTTTTTAAATATAAATTTGGTTTAAGAAGTTGCAGAGTTTGAAGTCTTATTTTATCATTTACTATGAAGCACCTTTTGGCCTTCAAATTTAAACTATTGCATAACCCTAATCAAATTTTGTGGCTTGGCCCTCTAGTTTCTATTGAGATCTCTAGAAACTATTTTAAAATAATTGTGGACAACATTTTTTAACTGGCTGCATACTTCTTACTTGCTGCCATGGTTCCAAAGGCTGTAGGAGAAATGTTTAATAACTGTGGTGGGGATATTGGGGGCATTTTGACAAATTATAAGGGTAAAATAAAATGTTTTTCCTCAGAGGATTAATGTACTGATTCCGGCTTATTATTATTATTTAAAAAAAGCATAAAGTTGCACAGCTAAACCTTGGCCATTTTCCTCTAGAAATATAGATTAAAGATATTGCATAGATTCTGCAAACTGCTCTAAAAAAGCTTCTCCAAATGAATCAGGCCACCACTTTTAAGGGTTGACCAGCAGGCACTATTAACCCATTTTCAACCATGTTAAGCAAGTAAAACAGTCTTGGATTGCCAGAGATCCCTCTGTGCAGTAAAATCATAGAATGGTTTCATGACAGATTCATTCATTCTCTCCCTCTCTCCTTCCTTCCTTCCTTCCTCCCTTCCTTCCTTCCTTTCTTTCTTTCCAAATAGTAGTTATGTCTGTAGCTTCATTAACATGTATCCTTCAGATTTTTTATATATAATATTGTATCTAAGTAAACTGGATGGGGTTCTGTGAGATATAAAGGTCAAATCCCACCCCCTCCCTCAAAGCCAAATTCCACCAGTTTCATGTCACAATTCAAAACTGCTTGTTTCACAATAACAATAAAGTGATATTTCCTTTGTTACAGCTAAAAAAAACCAAACATTATTTAAATTGATTAAAATCATTGCTTTACTGTGTACCTGTTTTGCTCCCTTAGGTAACGGATAACAAAACTGGATCTACTAGCTATTCTGAGACTATTATTACATCGATACAAGAAGACAGAAAGAGAAATCATGTAAGTAATTCTTGTTTTGAAAAAACAGGATATCAATAAATGAGTAAAAGTTGTCAAAACCTATATGGCATGACTAAAACATAGGATTGTTTGACAGTCCATTATAATATGCATCTTCCATATTTATGGGCTACTCTGGTGACTGCAATTTGTCACTTGTCATGCATACATGCCAGCCATAATGGCATGTGTTTTAAAGTAATTATCACTAAATTCTCTAAATTATTGGGATGTTTGGTGTTTTGCAGACTGAAAATACTTGGAGGGAAGATTGCAATGTAATTAATATTTATTTTAGCTTGTGGCTTTGATATGTAATTTCCGATTGTAAGGGTAAGAAATCCCAGTGCAAACATTAGTATTGCTTAAATCAATATTAAGTTATATTAATGTAATAACTTAATACAACACACAAACTTGATCAGAAATTCCATTTTTACTCCTTGTTTCTGATTACAAAATAACCAGTAAGCTTTTCTTTGTGTTCCCTGATAAGCAGAGAAACGTTGTAGAAAAACCACACATCTTTAAATCTGTAACTTGTGTAGCTTTCATTGACTGGTTTTTATATAGATTTAACCGTGCTGTTTTTTATTTGGAATTCCCTTGAATTTATTCGCTTTCAGTGTCAATTAGAACAATTGTTTAGACAACTATCTTTGAGTTTCACAAACCTGTGTTGTATCTTATGTTTCTGCATATGCTGATAAAATTGGTGAATTTGACATCTGCTCCCTGTTTATCATTTTCAAAAATAGACTNATTGTAGAGATGATGTAGTTCTCCTTAACAAGGGACTTCACATCATTTCCACTTCAAAATCCCTCTGGCAATCCTTGTACGTGTAAGTATATGCTGAAACATCTTCTAGCTAGTCAGAAAGCTTGGAGAAATCAAACAAGATGTTTTGCTGTTAGAAGAAGGATTGCATACAGATAATCCTCATTAGTTTTTCTTCCTGGCCTGTCCACCTTGGTTCCTTTTGGACAGACTCTAGTACACTAGCAAATATAGTGGAGCCTAGCAACTCAGTTAAGCGAAATTGCAAATGTGTTGGGGATCTTGCTTTTTTTTAAGCTTTCCTTTGCTTGCAGACCTGCAAGGCAAGGACTGATCATAAAATTACTTTTTCATCACTGTTGAAACTCCATCATTAAATGAGCCAATCACTAAACAAGGACTACCTGCAGATGTTGCTTCATGCAACAATTTTAAAACTTGCAAAAGGATGGTATTATAATATGGCTTGGTTTGCAGAAATCACCCAAATAATCGAGAGAGGCAAGAGCCTATAGGCAATTATCCTCCAAAAGAACTTAGTGCTGAATGGCAAGCCCAGTGGTAGACATTATAGGTATCCAGGTGTGAGAAAAGAGAGATGGGAAAGGGAAAAGAGATTTGACTATTTTGTTGGAACTGGAATTCTAAAAAGAAAATTTCAATCTTGCAGCATTTTTTGAAGGTTACTGTTAATGTAGTGGGTAGAAGTTCCAGCTTTTTGAAGAAAAAGCTAGATTAGTATTCTTAGAACTTGGGTGAGTCATTTTGGCTTTCCGTTCTGATATCATCTAATATCAGCAATGAGGATTTGGAAGTTCTCTTAAGACATGTTCTCACTGGGAGGCTTTTATTTCTGGTCTTTGCCTGCAGAGAATCATTGCAGCAGCCCTGAGGATGTTTCTGCTTGGCTCGATAAGGCTGCTGTTTTTGCCGGCTCTTCTGGGCATGGTCTTTTCAGCTCCTGCTTCACAGAGTAAAGAAAAAGAACAACCCCAGGAGATAGTTCTAAGCTTTCCAAAGGATGAAACTAGCCTGAATGAAATGCTCCAGGAAGTCGAGGAGTTGATGGAGGACACTCAGTACAAGCTGACCAATGCGGTCAAAGAGGTAAGACTTTTGTCCCGAGAGTTGGGGAAATAATTTAATGTTTGAAGCTGATAGGGAATCTTACTACAGTATGCTTTATAAGCTCAGGGCAGGAGTGGGATTTAGCCGGTTCATACTGGTTCGGGTGAACTGGTGCTATACTGACCTATATTCCCTTTCTTTGAAGCCCAGCTGATAGGAGTGGCAGAGCGGGTTGCTGCGAAGCATGTGCTCAGTGAACTGGTTGTTACACTGGTTGAATCCCACCACTGGCTTGGGGATTGGGGATTTAGATTAACAGCAACACGATTAAAATATAACATGCCAATGCTCCTGAAATGATTACCATTTTAATTGAATACTTTAAGAAAAGGTATGTGTCTGTCTGTGTAATGAGAATAATGAGGCGCAATAAAATAGTAGAAAATCTACCTGCTCAGCCTAGAATGGTTGTGTAGGTTAATTGGAGTGACTTGCCTAGACAATGGGCAACAGAGGCAGTGAAACATTAAGGGTGTGAATATTTTGTTTAAGTATCACCAATATCAACAACTATTTTTATTCTGCTAATATTTATATAGTTTTAGACCTTCAGCGGTTAATTCATACTACAGGGCATGCTTTATAGTCAATGTGTATTTTTGAAGGGCTGAAATGGAACAGCATTTTCTAATCTGATCTT